AAGCCCAAAGCTCAAACCAATGAGGCAGTCATCAGGTTTTTTTCTTCTCGATTCTCTTCTTTTTTTTTGGGCACGGTCAGGCTAACGGTATTGTGTGAGGTTCTTTGGTCTTTGTGTGCCACAAAAGCGGTTGGCGAGCCGCAGCTGGGGCACAGTTACAGCACGCCCAAAAAAGGGCATGTCTTCCATGAGGCCGCAAGTCCAGACTAAGGCATCCATCGACATGGCCATCGCCATGTGTATCCGCTCGCAGTTGCTGCTGCTGCTGCTGCTGTTGTTGTTGTTGTTGCTGGTCGCATTCGCATACGCGTCCGCCCGTGACTTGGCGATTTTATTTTCGCTCCATTTGTGGCCATAAATATTCAGTCAAGTGTCATCCAGACATGGCATGTGTAGTGGAGTTTGAAATGAAATAGAGTTGCAGTCGTGGCGAAGGGGGAAGCGGTGGCGTTGGCGGAAGCAGCGACTGTGATACATCCAAGTCGCGCATATGAGCCGGCTTACAGCCAGTTAAGTCACTTCTGTGGACGCGACCAAGTGGCCCGGACCCAGACCCAGACTTCAAAGCCAAAAACCTAAAAACCCCAACCGCCTAGCATCTGCCAATTGCGGTGAAGATAATTTTTTTCTCTTTTAACATTGCGTGTAAAAAAGAGTCGAGACTGTGTTTTATGGCTAGCGCATAAAAATGGAGACAGTTTGGGTAGTCTATGGAGTATATATGGCGTTGGCAAAGCCATTCCGAAGTGCATGTAATGGGCCGAGTCGAACGAGCATGTTAACTGCCATGTGGGAGGCTGTTGAAGTTATGAAGAATTGCAAACCACTGATATGCCATCATCTTCCATATAATTGTGTATAACAGTTGATTGCAGATGAGAGGTCGTTCAAAAATTCTAACTCAGATCCGTAGGCAGTTAGATAATGCCAATAGAAAAACTTAATTAGCCACATTAACTAGTTAAATCGAATGTAAGAATGAAGAAATTAAGGAAAGTTAAGAAATTTTGATTAGGTTTTATTTGTATTTTACTTTTTGATTTGAAGACGGAAAAATCTACGAGAAAGAAAGCAAATTATACGAGACAGCATTTCAATAGATGTTAACTGCAGCTAATATACACAACTCATTGTAACTCTTTGAGTAGCCCTCGTTTGAGGCCACACTTGTAGGATATTCACACGGAAGTGCAATGCATACGATAAAGTATTCAGGCGCTCGGCCTAATGCTAGCATTTGTCCTTCCCAACGGAAGTGCCAGGATTAACTGGGCACTTGAACACGATTAAGATGGAAGTAAAGTAGCTGGCTTCCACTTCAACCTCCGCTCGTCCTCTCCCTCTCCTTATGGAGGCTCGCGTGGTGAATGGAATTGAATACATCTGGTAGCTCTTCCGCATATGCGCGGTAATCAGTTGAGTCAGTGGCAGCAGCAGCTGCTTCTAATCATGATTTGTTATCAATGAATGGCCATCAATCAGTTGCGCTTTAGAGATAACTCGCTATCTATGTATCTATCAGATGCGTTGTATCTGTCTATCAGATGCGCTGGCAGCTCAGCCTTGAGTCAATCATTCGCACGTGCTTGAGTTAACGATAACGCTCAATTTGGCTAAATGCAATTTGCATACATTTAAGTAGCAATTGCCCAGAGACTCCAAAATCTTACCATACCTAAGTTGTCCGACCCCCGGCCACCACACCGAACAGGAGCTCGCTAAAAGATTGCCCGGCTTCATTTGTATTTTTGGGGCTTTTTTCAGGGAAATGCACTTGGGTCACGTTTTTGATATTTCATTGAATCAAAACAAATTGCTGGTGCCCGGACGAGGGACCAGGCTTTAAATAAATAAATAAATGTTCAACCGCCGGGCACAAAATATGTTGTAACGAGCTTCGAGCTGTCCGCTCGTTAGGCAAATGGCAGCAACCGCACCACACCGCACCGCACCCGCCATAAAATGTATCCAGCTCGTAAAAAATTAGATTAAACCTCATAAAAATGTAAGTTGTACTCAATTAGATGGTCAAGCAAGCAACTGTTGCCATTGGCCCATGTCAAGAGTGTTCCAAACTCTCCAATTGACTATTCTTAGCAGGATTTTCCTTTATCTAAAGCTGTTCTAATACTCTGTTTGCGAAGTGATCAAGAGTATATGGGCATGCATGTCACAGCTATGGAAGCTTATCTAAAATTAATGATACGTAGAGCAGGAACTTTCAGGGCCAACAGCTCTAGGAAAAATTAAACTGCTCTTAATTGGTTTCTATACTCTGGATATGGAGAGTATGTGGCAGTCGCTTACTCCCGTTTTACTGCTTCTTTCCTTTGCACGCTGCGCCCTGTCTCAGCACTTTGCTAATTGACAATTTTCAAGCAGTTTTTTTGCGCCATAAAAACGAACTTTTCTAATAACCCCAAAGTCAGTCATTTCGTCTAAGCCATTAAAAAATTAATTGCCCGCTTCCCCCAGGACGACTAACTCATCGTCGTCGGCTTCGTCTGGCCACGCCCCAAACATCGCGCTAATCCAGCATTTAGAGCGCTGCTAAACGCCTTGTCGTCATCGGGCTCGACTCTGTTGCCAGCATTTATTTCCCATCAAATAAGGGCTTGTCTGTTGTCCAAGTTGCCAAAAGCATAACAAGAAAACAGCTAAGACAGCGAAGTTGTGTTTACACCTGATCTACTCAATGATGCCCTGTAAACAACAATAATTTAAGTAAGTATAGCAGGGTCCACGCAGGCATGTAGGAAACCTTTTTATTTTATACGGAATAAAATTATAAGAATATTCTATATTGAAATGTTTTATAAGATGTTTGTAAGAATAATGTCGGCATCTAGCATACCCTATTTACACAACATGTAATGTAGGGTATTTGAAACGTTTTACTTTGCCACGAGCTTCTAAGTTCGTATTATTGCTTCGTTTTGTTATTAGTTGTATTTTATTTTATTTTAGGTTTTTGCTTTCGAGCCTTTGTCTCGAGTGCTTTTCAGCTGACCTTTTGTAAGCACTTCTCTAATTGTGGCTTTGACAAGCAACAAGCTGAGAGCGAGGGCGAGAGCGAGATATATGCAACAGGAAAGAGCCAGACAAAGCAAGAAACTCGACGCTTAATTTAGCAACATTTTTTATTTGTTTTGTTTTTTTTTCTTTTTTTTTTTTGCGCGGTTTTTTTATTTTTCTGTTTTTTTTTTTGTTATTTCTTTTCATTTGGCTGACTTTGTGTGGGTTGTCGATTGACTGACGCAATCTTCCAATTTTGTGTATTACTTTCCAATTTGATTGCGGACATTATATTCATAGTATAGTATATATTGTAGTGCCTATATGATATGGTCAACTGACGTCAGCTTGTGCAACGATTAGATTGATAGACGACTTTTCAACATTTATATACCTAAATATGTATTATCAGCTGTACATATTTTTATCTTCCGGCTGCTTGGCACTTCCGGTCGTTAAGAATTGTTATCGAAAGGTCACAATTTCATGTGATTCATTTACGAAATTAAGTCAAAGGTTTTATTGAACTTTCTGAATAATTGAACGAAGATTACTCTAAGCTATAAGGCTATATGAGGTAGACTGATTCTGTTATTGAATAAGTAGCAAGACTTCTTTAACTGGATAATGAATTGAAACCATATCAAATAGACATACTATAAACTTGTACTTAAGTCAAAGTAATACAAAGAAACATTCAGTATTTCAAAAAACATGAGCATAGGGTATTCATGCTTCGTCTATAGTTTTTTCAGTATCTTTTTTGTATGCACTTCATTTATGAATGACAAGCTGGTGGCATCATCACTTGCCGGGCAAAAAGCGCAAATGCAAACACTCTGTGTAGACGCTCAACTGAGCGACAACGCTCCCATAGGGTACTCCACTCAAACAATTATTTCTCATTCTACAGTTACTTTTGTCGCTGCCTGGCTTGAACCGCCAGTTTTTCGCACACAGTGCGCAAAATTTTAATGAGTTGGAAATTTAATACCAGCCGACAGATTGCGCAGGGGCAACGGGACAACTGAGCCCTGGGCCTGAAGGGGAGTGTAAAGAAAGTTCACTCGAATCTCAGCTACAACTGCGGTAGGTCTCGCTCCAAGGCGCACACGATTAAATTTGCAGTGTGTTCTTAAATAATTTAAAATTTGCATTTAATTGAAAGATTAATGAAGGGCCAAGAGGCTAACTGAGCAATTGATTGACGAAGTAACTGGCTGGTTGAATTGATTTTCTGGTGCATGGAATAACTGATTTAGTGATTGAGCGATTGCGTGCTTGACTGTTAGCTGACTGACAGAATGAATGACTGATTGAATGACTGACGGAGGGAAGGAGGAACTAACATTACATAACTGACTGACAGAGTGATTGAATGAGTGGAGGACGGGAAAAGAAACTTACATTAAATAACTGAATGGCTGATAGAATCTCCAGCTTGCGAACAGACTATTGACAGACTGACTGACTCTCTGATTATCTAAGTGGCTGACTGACAGTCTGTTTGACTGACTGACTAACTGACTATATAACTGACGGACTGGCTGCCTGCTTGACTGATAGTCAGACTGACCAATTGATATACCAAAAGTCTAAATGACTGAACTAACTAACAGTTGATTACGTAGCTCTCAGCGTTGTCTTAAATCAATTTTAATGGATTCTACGTTTTTCCAGCAACTCACCTTGAACTTGAGTTCCGTCTCAATTGGCGGCTTCATACTAAAAAAAAAGATAACAAAAGCCGCGACTAATTTGTATGTACATATGAACATTATAAATTTTGTATATAGTACATCTACTTTGTGTGGTTCTCTCGAGCTGTGCAGTCGCTTCCGTTTGTTTGCACAATGCGCAATTTTTTCTTAGATAAGTCTCCGGCAAATGTCGCTTCAATTTAACTTATTTTTAGTAAAGTGATTTGGATTATAATATGCATTAAATTTATGCTAAAATATGATTTTTTCCCTCTCGTCTTTCAGATTTTGCTGAACTGCTGAACTTTTTCGGCTAACTTTGTGCGCTTGCGGAAATGTAAGTTCAACACAAATCTTAATTTAACCGTTCTCATTTAACCCAAATCCATTTCTGGCTATTTAATTAAGTTGTGTGCACTTTACGTGACGCAGTAAATGTCGTCATTTTATGTGATTCCCGCCTGACTTATCCATTAAATTATTCACGTATCATGTGATCAGCCAGTTTGTGAACTTCCATTTCACGGGCTCTAATAATAATTAGTCTTGACGACGTTGAAACTCTCGTTAAAATCATGACTTGTGTGCACTTGTTGGCTCTCTGCTCCTCTGCCCCACCTGCCCCAATAGCTCCTCAGCTTGTGTGGCTTCTAATTGTAGTTAAACTTTCTGACATAATTTATGATTTTCGTGCTCTTAACTTTCTTATTGTTGCTGTTGTTGGTCTGGTTTTGTTTGAAGTTTTTTATTCTACCTGCCGGTTTGCCTTCTCGCTTTCTTAAAATTCTGAGAATCTTTAAATTGCATTCTGAATGCGAAAAAAAGAAGCAAAAGTAAAGAGCAGCAGCAGCAACAACTCTTGATTTATTATTTGAATAGCTTAAAGGTTTGTTGGAATAATGAAATTATTTTGAAGCTAGCTCGATAGAAATATATGAATGCATACCTTAAGATCTTGTCGAAATTGATAAGAATTTTACTGGAAGAACTTTCTGCTCTTGAAGTGAAGTCGCTTATATAAAAATTCGATTACTAAATTCTCATTTAAATTTAACTTGAAATATCTTCCGATTTTACAAATACCTGTTTTAGCTGTCCTAAGATTAAAAGGGGCTGTCAAAATTCTCTAAAAGTGTGATTATACAATTTACAGTTCATCAACATTTAAGTCAGCTTATAATAAAGATTTCACAGTTCTATGACATGCCTTCGCCACAAAGTAAATATGAAATTTTTGCCTGCCAACCAGCCCATTGCACATGCAGTTCTCGCAATACCCATTACGAATAAACGTGTGTATAAAAAAATCATTTACAATCATATTGACGTGTCATCCTAAGGGTTATGCCAGCCTGACGTAAGAGATTAAAGATAAGTACTGTTGACTACCTCCATTGCACAACGAGCGAGAACATCTCTATAAAAATAAAAAAATACTAAATGAGTATTCGCGAGTGCATGCATATGAATGCATGCATAACATGAATACATTTGTATGTAGACAGACTATAATCATTTGCGAATAACTGTAAATGAAGCTTTTAACGTCACATTGAATTGAAATTGAACGATGAGGACTGAGACAGAGCGTGAGCGGTGGCAAGGGCAGAGTCTGAGACTGCGGCTGCGAATGCGACCGGGTCTGTGAGATTCGAAAGAAACTGTGCTAACTCGACTCTGAATCGCACATGTGACCCTGGGCAGTTGGTGGGAACCAAAACAAAGATGTTTTAAATAATAATAATGAGGCATGCCAAATATTAGGTGCTCTTGCAGCTAAAGGCTTATCTTGAATCTATTGTTTCTAAAAGATCTTAACATAATATAGATAAGTAATTGCAATATAAGAATATATGTAGAGAAAATTTTTTTTTTTTTTTTTTTTTTTTTTTTTTTTTTTTTTTTTTTTTTATTTCTTTATTTTGTTGCAGCTTATTGTCTTAGACTCTATAGCGCATTTAGCTCTAAACCTTAACTAATGGGAGGGCAGATATGCCAATTATTCTGCACTTGTAGCTACTATCTTAATTAGTTCTAATATTGTCTAGAGGATGCAATCTCTTCAGTCTTCGCCTATTGTTGTTTATAGCCAGGTTGCTTGTGAGATGGTTAGGATGCGCTGCAAGTCTGTCCGCGTATCTTGAACTGTGTCGCCCAATGAGTTCAGCAACTGTGGGAATTGCTAAATCCCTATGTAAGACTGAGTTTCTTACAAACCAGCTGGCTCCAGTCCATCTGCGTAGTGCTTTATTCTGCAGGGTCTGAATTTTGTTCCTTGTAGTCTTCGCCGAGGAGCCCCATAGAGAGATACCATATACGAAGGTTGGGACAACTATTGCCTTGTAGATGGCGGCCTTGCTGCTGTAAGACAACTTGCTTGAAGCTCTCAGCATCCAGTCGAGGGTTTTTAGCTTGCTTTTGCATTTTGAGGTTACTTGACTTATGTGCGCTTTAAAAGTCAGCCTTCTGTCAAGAGTGATACCAAGGTACTTTACTTTTGAGGCTTTGGGAATAGTGGGCCCCAATGCAACGCTTGGGCAATCTCCTCTTCTAGTGGCGAAGGTAGTATGTACAGACTTTTGTGCATTAATGGTGATACACCACCGTTTTGCCCAGCGTCCGAAAGAGTCCAGATATTTTTGTAGTGAGTCTGAAGCTTCTTGCGCAGATACGTGACGTGATAAGATGGCGGTGTCATCTGCATAGGTCGCTATGAGTACTGCATCTGTACTTCCTATATTTGGCTCGGGAGTTGGCATATCTCCTGTGAATAAAGTATAAAGTGTTGGGCCTAGAACACTACCCTGTGGTACTCCAGCCATAATTGGTCTAGTCAAGGATACTGCTTGCCCCCTTGACACTTGGAAGGTTCTTCCAATAAGGTATGAGGATAGCAACGCGAAAAATGGGGCTGGAAGGGTGGTCCTCACTTTCTGCAGCAGTCCCAGGTGCCAAACTCGATCAAACGCCTGTTTGATGTCTAAAAAGACGGCAGAGCAGTACATCTTTTCTTCAAAGGCTCCAAGGATATGGTGCACAACTCTGTGAACCTGTTCCGGTGTTCCATGCTGTCTCCTGAAGCCAAACTGATGGTTTGGAATGGCCTCCTGGCGTCCCAGATGTGTCAGTACTCGTTCCAGAAATATTCTTTCGAATATTTTGGAGAGTACTGGCAACAGGCTAATTGGTCTGTACGACTCAATTTCTCCCACGGGTTTGCCAGGCTTAGGAATCATCACAATCACGGCGCGCTTCCAGCAGGCTGGAAAGTGCCGGATGCGGAGCATGGCGTTGTACACCATAGTTATGTAGTCTATGGTGGAGTCAGGCAGTGCTCTAAGGACTCTGCCGTTTATTAGATCATATCCAGGGGATTTTTTTGCCTTCACTCTTCTGATGTGTTCAAGAACCTCTTCTTTTGTACATCCAGTTATCTGGTCTTCAGCTGGGAGGGGCGAGAGAACGATGTCTTCTGTTGCTTCGATTTCTGAGGCCTCTGCGGTAATCACCGGCGTGAATTGGTCTTGAAGGTGGTTTGCAAAAGCCTCAGCTTGAGCTTCGTCACCAATGTGCCAGGAACCAGAAATGCTCCGAATGGGATGTCGACGTATTGGCTGCCGTTTGAGCTTTCTTGTAAATTTCCATAATTGAAACTCTGCGTCAGTGGGCGATTCAGCTCGTACCAGCGCATCGCTGATACACCTCTTTTGAAGCAGGGCGAGAGCAGCTTTAAGATGCCTCGTGGCTTCGTTGTACGTGGATTTGGCATCAGGCGTGCGTAATCTTAACCAGCGTCTCCTGGCCCATCTTTTGTGTATTAGTAGGTGTTGGGCCTCCAAGGTGAGGGGGATGTTGTACGGAGACTGTTGTCTTGTTTGGCAAGATGGTGGGGCGGCTTGGTGCGCAGCTTTGACTATTTCTTCCTGCAGTTTGTTTGCTGCGTAGTCCACGTCTTCAGGAGTGTTAAGTTCCATTTCTATGTGCAAAGAGTAATGGAGCTCGCGCCTAAAGACTCCTAAATCTGATCCTGCTGGCAGTAGTTGTTTCCTAATGGGCAAGGGCTGTGGCTGCGCGTGGATTGTGACTATTAGTGGCAGGTGGTCAGAGGATAGGTCCAAGGATTCTTCAATGGTCAATTGCCGGTCACAGATGCCTTTGTAGACAGCGAAGTCGATTGCCGAGGGCCTGTGTCCATTAATTGGGTAACGGGTGGGGGCTCCAGTCGCCAATATGCTGAATTGTAAGTTTTGAATCGCCTCAAATATGACTTCTCCGCGACGATTCGCACTATTGCTTCCCCAAAATGGGTGCCATCCATTCCAGTCGCCGCCGATGAGGGTCTTATTCAACCTTTGGCCTAGAACCTGTTCCATGTGATGATCACACAGACCAGTGTTTGGCGGAAGATAAATTGACGCAACTTCGATCGCTCCAATAGACGTAGGCAGGGTGATGGCTGAGACCTGCATTGTTGCGTTGCAAATTGACAGTAAAGGTGTATGCGGTATTGTTGCTCGTATGAGGATTGAGGATCCACCAAAGCAGTTTGCTCCTTCACCATGAGCCTGATAGTGTTCGTATCCGAAAATTTGTGTAGTGGGGCACTCATGAGTTTCTGTTATTAACATTATATCTATGTTTTCTTGTGAGAGAAACGCAGCCAGTTCCTGAGTCTTGTTTCTCAGGCCATTGGCGTTCCAGATACCCACACGTAAAGCCATTATTTGTAGGCAAGCTTGGTTATGATGGCCATTAAACTGTTTAGCATGGTTGCTTGTTGGGATTGTACTTCTCGCATCGCTTTGAGCTCGGCATTAATTGCGTCAAACTGACGTTGTTGTTGCTGAAGCATTTCAGTGAACAAAGTGTCACTTGTGGTATTCTTATTTGACGGTCCACCTCTAGCGGCCTGTGCGTAAGAAACACCACTAATAGGCGTTGCAAAGCTCGTGGCTTGGGTAATGCTCCGGGGCCTTGTAATTTCGGAAGCAGTACTCGGACCCGTAGACGGTGTTTGTGTGGGACTCCTTTTTTGTGCTGGGGATTGCAATTTGCGCAACCGCTTGTATACTTGGCAGCCCTTATAGTTGGCTGGGTGCTGTAACTCACAGTGCACACAAGTTGGTGCCTGGTCCTTTTCGCGGGTGCAGTCTTTGGATGCGTGTTTCCCGGCGCAACGCACACACCTGGGAGCTTTGTGGCAGTAGCGTTGTGTGTGTCCAAATTCTTGACAGCGATGGCATTGTGTCAGGTCGTTGTATCTTCTTGGCAGTTCCACTGTGCAGCGTTGCCTGCAGACAACTCGAATGTCCAAAATTTCTTTGTTGTTGGGGGCCT